GGGGGGGGGGGGGGAGAAGGGTAGGTCGGCCCCACAGACCCTTTGGCTCTGTCCTCTGATTGCCTAGCTGTCCCATCTCGGGGTAGGCAAGGGTGTGGGGGGTGCCTCTCTCTGGATCCCACCCCTTACCCTCCAAGTCTTATCTCTCAGCTCTTCCCAGGCCTCCTCAGTCCCCAGCCTTGGCCAAGGATATTCCCCCCTACCCCTAACGAAACCCATCCCTCAGCTCCTAACCAAGCCTCTCACCTCGCCCTCCCCACTGCCAAGCCCAACCACTTTAAAACACATTTTCTTCACTGCTCCTTTGCGGGGCCGGGGCTGCTCCTTCAGAAACCACCATGCACGCCCCACTCTAAGTCCTGAACTGTCTAGAACATGGACCACGACCTCACTCCAAGTTTGGCCCATTCCTGAACTCCACTTCTTGCCTTGCCCAAGGTCGGCCCCCTTTAGAATCAAACTCTGTCTCTCGGAGTGTTCAAAGCCACACCCCTTCCATAGATTCTGGTCCCAATCCAAGGCCCGCCCACTCTGGGGCCTCACCCACAGCCTGCTTCAAGCCCCACCCCTTCTAGAACCACGCCCTTAGCGTTTTTCCAAACCAAGTGTCCAGGTCCCAAGTCACACTCCTTCCGTAGAACCCTGTCCTACTCCAACCCCTGCCCACTGTGGGCCCACCCGCTGCCTCACCCAAAGCTCCACCCCTTCTAGGACCACACCTTCAGCTTCCTTCTAAGCCCCATTCTAGAATGCTGTAGGGCACCCTTCTTCTTCAGACTCCAGATCCAGTATGTCTGGAACCCAACCCCTCTGCTTACTAGCCCTGTTCATTCTAGAGGTCCTCTCCAAGACCACCTTGGGTCCCAAGCTCCCCCAGCCTCTGCCTTTCTCCTCTCTTCAGAGTTGCATTTTCCCTAATGGCCCCTGTTCAGGCATTGCTAGAGGAATCAAGGCCCGAGTTGGGAGGAGGGGAGGGAGAGAGGGGAGAGCCTGAACTCACACCCACCCTCCCCACACAGCCTTCTGTCTCCTCCCTGTCCCCCTTACAGAGCCCCCCAACCTCAGGGCACAGGGCCAGGGAACAGAGAGGGGCCAAAGGATGAAGGGGAAGGGGTAGGGGTAAGAGAGGGGCCCATGCAAGATCGGGTCCCTAATGCATAAGGGGAGTGGAGTGGGGGCAGGGCTCAGACAGATAAATAGATATTTATATATAATATATATATATATATAAACAGCAAAGACAGTTAAGGGTCTCCTGGTTTGAGGGGTGGAGACCTGGGGTGTAGGGATGGGAACGGGGGGCAGTCCTTCTCCTGAGCTCTTGCCTACCAACGGGGTCCTCCCGGGCTGCACTGACCTGTGGAGACAAAAGATACAAAAGGAGAGGGGGTCCAGACACAGGTGGTGCCTTTAGGGAAGGGCTGGGCTGCTATGCCTCTGCCCTGGCTTCACCCACTACCTGCCATGACCTTTCTTCCTTCCTTCTTCCTTCACTTATAGTCTTGGGGTCAGCTTCATCCCAGCTGCCCCTGCTGGGAAGATATACCTTGCCTTCACTAGATTAGGTACCAAAGAAAGTATGGTTTCCCCTTCTCCCAATCCAAAAAAGTCTGTTAACAGGTACTGTACTCCTCATTGGTGGTAAACTATATTGAGCAGAGCAAAGATCCTTATCTTTGTGGAGCTTACATTGTAGCAAGGGAGAAAGACTTAAACAATTACCATGATGTATAAATAAGTTATCTAGTATGACATAAGGTGATAATAAGTGAAATGGAAAAACAAAAAGTAGACTGGGGCGAGGGGGATTAGGAGTGACAGTAGGGGAAGAAAGGTTGCTGTAGTAAGTAGGTAGTCAGAGAAGACCTCATTGAAGAAGTGACATTGGAATAAAGACTTAAGGAGGTGAGGGAATGAGCCACGCAGATAACTGGAGGGAAGAGCATTCCGGGTAGGGAGCGCAGCCAGTGCAAAGGCCCTGGGGTGGGACCACATCTAGTGTGTTTGAGGAACAGCAAGGAGATCAGTGGGGCTTCAGTGGAGTGAGCAAGTGAGAATGGTAGGAGGTGATGTCCGAGAGGTAGGTAATGGGGTCACATAGGAGCTTGTAGACAAGGTTGTGAGGACTTCAGCTTTGACTCTGGATAAGGTATAAATCAACTGGAGATTTTAAGCAGAGAAGAAGAGTAAAATGATAGTAAAATGTCTCATGCTGGGTTGTTTCTTTTATTTCCTCAATAAATGTTTCTTACCATTAGTAGTGCTCTAGGTGATGTGTCTATAGCATAAATTAGTCATGGTCACATCCCCTAGTCTAGTAGAAGAGACAGTCAATAAACATATAAACTAATAATTACAGACTGTGATAAAGAAAAGCACAGGGAGAGGTAAGAAAAGGGACTTGTAAGGAGTTGGCCAGATAAGGTTATCAGTGTGTGTGGGTGTGAAACTCCAGGGGGAAAGCAAGTACCAAGACTGTGAAGTTGCACTGTGCCTGGTACGTTGATGTGGCCAGTGTGGCTGGAACAGAGTGCGGGGGAGTGGTTGGAGGTGAGAGGTCAGAGGAGTGAAGGGTGGGGCTAGATTGTGTAGGGCCTCGTGGGTCATAGTTTTGGCTTTGGCTTTTAATCTGAGTGAGATGGGAGCCCCGGTAGAGCTCTGAGCTCTGAGCATAGGAGGGTCGTGGAGTGATTTAGGATTTAACAGGATCGTTTCCCACGCCATGAGCAGAATATAATGGGAATGGGGGTGGAAACCAGTGAAGAGGTCCAGGGGGACAGTGGGAAGATTATGGATATATTTTGAAGGTAGAGCCAACAGGAATTTTTAGTGAATTAGATATGGGATGCCTGATAAACTCCTCCCTGCCCTTTCCATCCTGGCCAAGTGCCAGAAGCTACCTCCACCCATGTGTTGCCACCTCCTTGCCTTTCCCCTCTAACGCCATCAGCCTGCCTCTACTCCCCGTCTTCCCCCCTCACATTTGAGGGAAACCTCGCTTCTCTTTTGAGGCCCAACAAGAAGGCCGGCAAGACTTTCCAATGCGCCCCCCCCACCCCACCCCGCCCCGCTCCGCCCGGGCCCTTTTCTTCTTTGAAATTCCACACTACCTCCCTCGCCTCCAGGGTTGCGGAGAGGTGGCGGATCTGTCACCTCCTTCGGATTAGTGATCTTGTCTGACCTTCATGATCCAAGCCCGTTTACCCTCATCATCTATTGGCCTTATCATAACGTATTGGATAAAACCCACCTCTTCTTCCCTCCATGGCTCCTGCGCCCAGCGGATTTCCCACTACGCAAGTCCTCCTGTTATTCCCTCCTTTCATTGGTTGCTCTGCCCACTTCTCTCTCCCCTCCCTTCCCTCAGAGCAGCACTTCTACCTCTCTCCCATTGGCTTTTCATTCTGCCTATTTTCAAACACCACTCTTCTGCTCTCCACCATTGGCTAGTTTTTCGCCCCTAGCACGTAGCTCCGCCTCTCTATTGGCTCCTTCAAATTCCCATCCTTACCTGTCCGGCCAGTGTCCTACTCCTATTGGTTCACTAACCCGCCCATGAAAGGATCATGAACCCTCCTTGGCCGCCCCGCCTGTCTGTCACTCACCAGACTACATCTGATTGGAGAAGGAGGTGGGCGCACCCTGAGGGCCATAGCCTTGCTGCCCGTAGTCGCCCTGAGGCCCGTAGCCACCGCTACCGCCACCGGCGGGCTGCCCGTAGTCAGGCTGATAGCCGCCCTGGGGCCCGTAGGAGTCCTGGGGCCCGTACCCGCCGGGGCCCTGCCCGTAGCCTGCCTCGCCGTAGGCATCCCCGGGCGCCGGTTGCTTCTCGGGGGCGCCGGGAGGAGCGCGCAGGAATGGGGCGGCCCAGCCTGTCTCCTTGAACACGAACCACAGGTTGCCGACCCAGAGCACCAGGTTCAGGAAGCCAAACACCTGCGGGGAGACAAAGCTCGGCTGTTGTCCTGCGCCCATTGCCCTGGCGGCCCCGGGGAACATCGAGGCCGCTTGCGTTGGGCTTGGATTCGCGGGCCCCGGGATAGTGGTGGTTTCCGAGACCCTGACCCTCCAAGTCCCAGCGCATGAATGTCAATGTGCACAAAAATCACCTTGGTGGGGAGGGGGGCGTGGGGCGTGTTAGAATTCAGATTCCCGGGGATGTTGAGATATATCAGTATTGCATATATGTGTTTATGTATTTGCATATGTACACGTTTATACATGTACAAAATATAGTAAACCTAATTTTGTAATATATAGTAAAATGCTAAGCATAAATTTTTATTAAATACGTAGATATACCGCTAATGGATGCATATATACACATACATATGTATATACAAATATATGTATAAATACCCATGTATAAAGTATATAAATATACGCTTTTATATTAAAACAAATATATACATTTGTATAAATATATACAATGTAATTCAATTTGGGGACGGAAAGTAATATTTCCACTTTACAGCTGAGGAAACTGAGGTGCACAGAGGCTTAGTGGCTTAGATCTTAGATCTGTCGTAGCCAGCAATTGACAAAAAAAGAGTTGGAATCTGAGGATCTGTAACACTTGTATACGACTTACCATGTGCCAGGCCCTTTTCTAAGCACTTTGTATGTTATTAGTTCACTACTTAACTTTGGAGCAGGACCTCTTATTTTCAATTTATATGCTCAAACTGAGGCCTGAGAAGCTGAGTAACTAGTTTCAGGTCCTAGAGCTTGCAAGTGGCAGAGCTCGGATTTGAGCTCAGTCTGACTCTGGCCAGTAGGGGGCGTCCATACGGGAAACATTTCAAGTTATTCTTTCATTTTGCATATAAGGAAACAGGTCCCAAGAGGGTACTTACTGAGTTGCCAGAGATTCTACATGGCTAGGCTGAGCCTGTGATCCAGGTCTCCCAAACCTAACTGGACAGAAGATCTCACGTTCCCCTTTTGGGGACAGTCTGTGGTGTCACAGTGGTTACAATTGCTATCTCATCCTACAAGGCTCTGTTGTTGGCATGCCTCCTCCAGGGAGCCCTCTTGGATTTCCTCTGAATTCTCCTCTCATTCTCTCTCTCCACCACTCCCCATGCCAGACTAAGTTTCCCAGCCACCCTCCCCAGCTGGCCCAGCCAGCTTCCCAGGGCTTACCACCGAGGTGTTGAGGCCAGAGGTCACAGGGTCCCTCAGCTCCTTGCATGTATTCCCCGTCTGGTGGCAGACAGGCATCCCCTTGATAATGTTCTCTGGGTCCGTGGCCATCTTCACATCTGACAGCCCCTTGGCCCAGGCCGACGAGCTAACCAGCCACATGAAGGCGAACACTGCCGTGGCCAGAAAGTCCTAGGCCGGGCAGGGGGGAGGGAGATGGCACCATGAGTGGGCTGCTTCATGCTGGGCTGTGGGGCCTCCTCAGATCACAGGCTTTCTTGGGAGGGGCGTCTCCCAGAAGAGGCTTGTCTCTCCCCTGCCTTTCCAGCTCTTGAAGCCCCCAACACTCACTTGAAGGTGGCCCTCCTAGCTTGGGCTTGTCTGTGCATGTATGTGTATGTGACAGAGGGTGTGGGAGTGTGACTGTGGTATGTGGTGTGTGTGTGTGTGCGTGTGTGTGTGTGTGTGTGTGTGTGATTCTGTGAGATGGTTGCCAAGTCTGTGGAAAGTAGTGTGTCTTTCCACTTTTATCTGAATGTGGGAATTTGTGTCATTTTGTGTCTGGGATGAGGGTGTATGAGTACAGCTGTGTAGGAATCAGTGTGTCTGTGTGGTGTGATGACAAGCATGATTGTCACAATGAACCTCTGTGTGCTGCTTTCTTTCATCTAGACTGTAGGGTTTTGTGAGAGGTGGCAAGTTTCCAGGTGTCTGGGATTCTGTGTGGGCTGTGGGTGTGTCCCTGTCACTCTGATTCGGTGTCTCTGATGCTCATAGCAGCAGCAGCAGTAATGTGTGCGGCTGTTATCAGGGCCGCTTGCATGTGGGCCTGTCTGGGATTTGACGTGGCCTCTGAACATGGCTGTGTCTCTAAGGCTCCATGTCCCCTGGCCCCTGTATGCATACGAATGGCTGTGGGAACTCACCAGCATGGGCCCTTTGTTGTTCTCTCGGTACTTGTTCTGCAGGAAGATGTAGGTAGCCAGAGCCCCCATGGAGTAGAGGAAGGCAAATACGGCCACGGTGACAAAGAATTCAGCCGATGAGGAGTAGTCCCCCACGAGGAAGATATTTTTAGGGTCCCCTTGGCAGGTGGGTGCCTCAAAGTACACTTGGTACAGCCTGTGGAGAGAGGTGGGCAGGTGTGGCCCAGGCCCTAAGAACTCCCTCCCCTCCCCCCTGCCCAGTCATGGGTGTCCCCCAGATTCTGACAAGGTCCCAGGAAGAGGAGGAAATAACCATTCACGAGCACCTACTGTGTACCAGTCACATTTCATTGATTGCTGAGAGCATGCTGGTAATAGGTATTACTCAGCCCTCACTCCAACCTAGGTACTTTGGCCCCTTGGTTATTCATAGAACATACCAGGCACCCTCCCACCCTAGGATTTTTGCACTGGAATGCTCTTCTCCTTCAAGCTTTGCTCCACTAGTCACCTTCTCAGTGAGGTCTTCCCTGATCTATTTAATTAAATCTAACCATTCCCTCCCAGCACTCCTTAGCCCCCTTCTTTGCTCCATTTTCTCTGTAGCTGTGATACCCCAGCTGACATACCATGTATTTTACTTTTTTCCTTGTTTTTTCTTGTAACTACAAGAGGGCAGGGCTTTTTCCTTTGTTTTGTTCAGTGTTGTACCCTTAAGGCCTGGAACAGTGCTGCCACATAGTAGGCGCTCAATAAATGTTTATTAAATGAAGTATATGGAGGCAGAAACAGAGGCTCCGAGAAATGCATTAACTTGCCTAAAGTCACACAGCTTGTATAGGAATGACAGAGTTGGAATCTGAACCTTGTGTTTTTCCCCTTACGTCATGTTGACTCTTCTCCCCACCTCACTTCAGGTCCCCAAGAGAAAAACAAATGTGTACATAGCAGAGGAGAGCCCAGGGACTATAAAATAGGAGGAGACAGACAGAAAGACAGGAGGGTAGAAGGGATGCTGGAACAGGATTCGTGTATGTGAGGTGTGGGCGGGGGTGGGGGGGAGCTGTAGACTGGGAAGGCATGTGAGGCTAAGGCCTTTCCTATGGTGTGATGGAAGAGGGGTCATAAGGAGGAACGTGCGTGGAGAGAAAGAGCAGGGTGAAGTCCCAGAGCTCTGGCCTCAGGTTGGGGGGCAGGATCCAAATGGTGCCAGTGCCCTTGTATAGCAAAGGCCCTAAGGGAAGGGCTTACACTTATTGATCACCTCCATTTTACATAATTTTACATAATTTCTTCACTTAATGACCCTCCCCCACAATTCTCTAAAGCAGGCATTATTATACCTGTTTTACAGATGAACAAACCGAAGCTCTGCAAGGCTAAGTTACTTGCACAGGGCTGCATGGCTGCTAAATGATGGAGCTAGGAGTTGGAGCTGGGTTTAAGTTTCTGGGTTTCTAGGGGGAATGAGGGGTCTTTGGGGGGGATTATTGGGGCAGTGGCAGGGTTGGTCAGGGGGACACAGGGCAAAGATTTTTTTCCCCTGGGAGGCTTGGGGGTGAAGGGCAGATCCTCAGCACCCGAGGTCCTAGACATGGGAGGAGTTGGGGTGTCCACAGATTTTTCTGGTCTTCTAGATCCCCAAAGGGCCTGCTCTCAGCAGTATCCCATGCTGCAGCTCCCACTCCTTCCCCAAACTCTCTTGGTTTCTGTGAACTGGTGGATCCCTGGTTGTCATCCCCCCCTTCCCCAGCCTCTCAGACCACGCCTCCCTGGTGCCCCCTTTTCTTTTGATTATTGCTCAGGCCCTGCGCTGGCCTATCTTCTCTTCAGTCTTGCCTCTCACCCTGGGTGATCCCCTGAGCCTACATTTACCCTTAGTGCTCAAAAATCCCTAATTTCCAACTCAATTCCTGATCTCTTTCCTGAGTCCTTTAAACTTATTTATTTTCCTTATTTTAACAAACACTTATGGAGCGCTTCTTGTGTGCCTGGCACCGTGCTAAGCATTTTACAAGTATTAATTCATTTAATATTTATCATAACCCTGTAAGGTGGGTATTATTATCCCCTTTCACAGATGAAGAAATGGAGACCCAGAGCAGTTATGTGATTTGTCCTAGTAGTGGAGGAGCCTCAGGAGCCTCTATTGAAATTGTGTCTGTGGGTCTCTGTCTTCCCATTCCTAGGAGGTAAGCCTCCCCATGAGTGCAGCAACCTTGCCTGCTTGTGCTCACTCTTGTGTACCTAGCACCCGGCACACGGTATGAGCTCAATAACTCTCAGAACTGTTTAATTTGGCTTAATCCTTACCCATGGCTAAGCAGCACCCCCTCATTATTCTTTATCATAAAACCCTGCATGAAGATGCCCTCCTTGGATTTCTCCCAATCTGCAATTATCCTCTTTAGTCATTTGTTTATTTGTTATAATGTTGGCTCCATGAGGGTAGGGAGCTTGGTCTGTTTTGTCCACTGTTATATCCCCAGCACTTTCAGCAGTACCTGACATACAATAGGTTCTGAAAAACTGTGTATGGGATGAACGAATGGGAATTAAATAATAATATTGGCTAACATTAATTGAGCACCTACTGCCTTAAGGATATATATATGTGTGCATATATATATATATATATATATATAAAATTTTGAATCTTGTTTATTGCCAGTCTCCTGCCCCTCCTCTTCACTAGAACACAGCCAGAGGGCAACAGCCTATGTCTGTCTTGGTCACCACGTGTCCTAGATGTCCAGAGGAGTGCCAGGCACAAGGTAGGTGCTCAGTGCATGTGCAGTGATCTGAGTGGGTGTGGTCTCCCGAGGTTGGGGCTGGGCAGGAGCCGCTGGGGAGGAGGTGTTGGCCGGTCCCACCCCCCACCCCCATCCCAGGTCTGTCAGGATCCCAGGGGTGGGCTAGTGTGGGGGCACACCTGAAGGGGTACTCGAATTCGACCTCGATGTTGAGGTCACTCTTGGTCTTGTTGGCACAGTCCACACTCAGCTGGAGCTCCCCACTGTAACTGCCGCATGTGGCAAAGGCGAAGATGGCAAAGACCTTGGGCAGCAGGGATGGGGATGGCCACGGTGAGCCTGTGTGCACGTGGGATGGGGCTGCCCTCCTCTGGACAGATGGGGCCCAGCATAGGCAGCAGCAGATGGACTGGTCCCCACCCCCACCCCCTAATCAGGGCTCAGTGAGGCCCAAGGACAAGCTGATTAGAGGGGTGTGGCTATCTCTTCCAGTCTTTCTCCCAGTGTCTCTCTTGGTTTCTACCTCTCAATAATGCTCTGATTCCCCTTATTCTGTCTCAGTCTATTTCTGTCTCTGTCTTTGTCTCTCTCTGTATTCTGCCTGTCTCTGTTGTTCTCTGTGTCTGTTTCCCTCGGTATCTCTCTGTCTCTGTTTCTCAATATGTCTTTGTCTTTCTCAGATGTCTCTGTCTCTCTGTATCTCTGTTTCTCTCTCTGCCTCTCTAGTATCTATGTGTGTCTCTTTCTGCCTCTTCTCTCTCTCTCTCTGAATGTTTGTGTGTGTGTGTGTGTGTCTTTCTGTTTCTTGGTCTGTCTGTTTCTATCTCCCTGCTCTGTCTCTGACATTATCTCTATGGTGCTCTCTCTGTCTCCCTCCTGCCTCTCCTTCTGTTTATCGGTTTCTCCTTTTCTCTTTTCCCGGAGGGTCTCTTCTTCTCCCTCTGTCTCTTTCTCTCCCCCACCGCATTTCTCTTCCTCTCTTCCTGTGTCTGTTTCTCTTTGCATCTCTGTTCTCTGTGCATCTTTCTCTGTCTCCCTTTTCTTTGTCTCTTTCTGTTTGTTTCTCTCCCATCTCCATATCACTTTTTTCCTGGTATTTCCATCTCTGTCTCCATCATTCCCAATCTCCCATTCTCTCTGTCTCCTTCACTGTCTCTGGGTTTCTCTGGCTTTTCGTCTCTCCCTGCAGCAACCAGCTTCAGTCTCCACCTCCCCTGCCCCTCTCTCACCTCAGGAGAGGAAGTAGGACGTCGCAATCTTCCACTTGAGAATGGGGGTACCCTTGGCCTTATGTGGCGTCACATCACAGCCCATCTGTTCTCTGGCCTCAACCCCCTGGGACTTCACCCAGGAGCCCAATTCCCCCACCCCCTTCTGCCCCCCCCCACCCATCCATCCCTCCCTCCTTATCCCTACTCCATCCCTGCTCTTCCAGACCCCACTACCTCCCTCTTTCTCCCCACAGCCCAGACCACACTCACCCATTGCAGCACCTTCACAAAGCCGAGGGGCTCCTTGACCACCCGGAACTGACCCCCGGCCACCAGCTGAGGAGAGAAACGGTGGGGAGGGGTGGGGTTGTTGGGGATGGAGAGGGAGGTGGGGGACAAGGCCACCAGGCAATGACCCCTGGGGATAAGGCATGTGATCTCTGGGAGGGAGTGACGTTTGGAGAGGCGGTGAAAAGGAGAAAGTGACACTTTGGGGAAGGTGTGAGCTCAGGGTCTCTGAGAGAAGGTCCCCGGGGTTCAGGGCTGGTGGGGACGTCTGGGGAGATGGTGAGATAGATGGCAGAGGGCGTCAGGGGTGAGTAAGATGGGGATGGAGTCAGGACTAGTTAGGGAAGGGGAGAAGGTCTGAAAAGGTAAAGGTGAGTCAGATGGTGAAGGGGATCGGGTGGAGAGAGTGAGGAAGGAGTTGGGGTTCATTAGGGTGGGGGAAGGGGTCTTGGATGGTGAAGGTGAGTCATAACAGGGAGGGAGTCGGGTTTGCTAGGGTGGGGGAGGGATCTGCAGCGGTAAAGGTGAGTCAGATGACGGTGGTGGGGTGTCTGAGGTGATGAGGATGGGGAGGGGTTAGTCCTGGTTAGAGATGGGCGAGGTTCTGAGGTGGTGAAGAAGAGTTCGATGGCAGAGAGGGTCTGGACTGATTTGATTAAGGTGGAGGAGGGCTAGGACATGGCTTCACTGCATATGTGCTGGGGGAAGGGGGACTAGGGGTTTGGGAGAAGCGAAACTGATCGTCCCCCTTGGTCTGCTCTGGGGGAAGAGGTGGTCGTCTATCAGGGTACCATCTCTGTTTGGAAGGGGCAGGTGTCAGCCCTCCCCTTCACCCCCGCCCCCACGCCTTCTGTCGCTCTATTTCCTAGCTCATCTGCAGCACCCCCCATCTTCCTTCTACTCTCCCCTCCCCTCCCTCCTTGCCCATACCCTGGCTCCAAGACCCCTTCTTCCTTCCCGGTCGCCCGTAAGGAACTGGCTTCTGGCGGCCCCCGCTGCGGCAGTGAGGACGGCCCTCGCTGCGGCAAAGGGCGCACTCCTTCTTTTCTCCACCTCCCCTTTCCTCCCCTCGCCTGCCGCAGACCCCAGCCCCAGCGCCGGGGACCGGGTGTCCGCTGCTAGGATTCTGGCCACCACCTCTTAGAGTCGGCGGATTCGCAGCGACCCCGGCGAGGAGGCCGGCCAGCGGCGGGCTCTGTCCGCGGTGCTGGAACGCGTACCTGATTCACCACGTCCATGTCGGCCAGCAGCAGCATCAGCAATGCGGGGGGCGGGAGGCGCCTGCTAGCAAGGGCGGGCGCTGGGCGCGGAGGGGGCGGTGCGCGATCGTCGGAACAGCCCAGGGGGCCGCAGCTCCGCCCCTCGCGCCCCCGCCTCGCTCGCCGCGCGCGCCTGCGCACAGCGGCCGTGTCTAAACCTCGCAGGCAGCCATTCCAGTCCAGAGACTGCAGAGGCTGGAACCGTGAAAATGCTTTCAGAAGGTCGTTATCTCTGAAAACACAGCTAGAGATCTGGGGAGGTGGGCCGTTGGGTCCTACAGTAGGACAATTTGCCAGGCCGTTTGCTGAACTGTTGAATGTGTTCACTTATTTAAGCCTTAGAACATCCCTACGTGGTAGGGACTATTCGCCCCATTTTTACTGGTGAGGAAAATTAGTCCCCAGAGAGGTTAAGCGACTTATACAAGGTCGCCCAGCTAGTTATTGGCAGTGCCCAAAGTCCCTGCAATTTAAACATGGTTCAGGGTCTTGAGGGTTTCTTCTCATCTGCATTTTAAGCACTTAAAAAAAAACAACCCTCCCCCTCCAACCATTTCCCGTATTTCGCTCTTCCTTAGTCAAAGTGTTGCCTACTCCAACTCTCAACTTTTTACATCCTGTTTATTTCTTAGTCCTCTCTTAATTGGACTATGCCTCCTTCATGCTACTAAAACTAGGCCCACCAAGGTCAATGGCAATTGCCATGTGGCAAAATCCAATGGATAAATACAGCTGGAATTTAAGATGCTCAACCTCACTCATACTAAAAGGAATGCCTATAAAAGCTACTAAGACACTGTTTTTCATCTTTGAGGGTGGTGAATATAAAGAAGTTTGATAATGCTCAGTATTAGCAGTTGGCCAGAAACAAGTATTCTCATACATTGCCAGTGGAAGTTAAATTGGTATAACTTCTGTAGAGGGTAATTTGGCAAAATGTAGCAAACTAATAAGTCCATATATGTGGCTCAGCGTTTACATTTCTAGGAATTTGTCTTACAGAGAGATTCAAACATGTGCTAAAAGAAGTATGTATAAGATAATACACTGCAGCACTGTTTGTAAAGTGTGGACACTCCCCAAATGCTCATTACTGGTGGCCTGTTTAAAAAAACTCAGGTAGAGCCGCAAAATGGAGTACTATGTAGCTGTCATTACTCATAATATGGAGCTGTGTAATGATAGCCAAGATACTTAGTTAAGTAAGAAATGCAAGATGCCAAATTATGTGGGAATTGTGTACAAATAGAAGGGAAGCATTATATCAATTATAGAGAGAACAGCTAACATTTTAAATTGTGGCTGTTCTGTGAGCTTCCCATATATCACTCATTTAAATCCTCACAACAGGGACTTCCCTGGTGGCAGAGTGGTTAAGAATCCACTTGCCAAAGCAGAGGACACGGGTTCGATCCCTGGTCTGGGAAGATCCCACATGCCACAGAGCAAGTAAGCCCATGAGCCACAACTACTGAGCCCATGTGCCACAACTACTGAAGCCTGTGCGCCTAGAGCCTGTGCTCCTCAACAAGAGAAGACACCACAATGAAAAGCCTGTGCACTACAATGAAGAGTAGCCCCCGCTCTCCGCAACTAGAGAAAGCCCACGTGCAGCAACGGAGACCCAATGCAGCCATCACTCAATCAATCAATCAATCCTCACAACAGCCCTATGAGTCAGGTACTACTACTATCCTCATTTTATAGCTGACTAAACTAAGGTGCAGAGAGCTGAAGGAATTTTCCTAAGGTCACACAGTTGGTAGGTGGTAGAACTAAGATTTGAACAGGTGGTAAGTGGTGGAACTAGGATTTGAACCCAGGAAGTTTGGCTCCAGCACCTGTTACTCTTAGCCACTGTGCTAACTTATCAGTACGGCATCCTATAACTATATAAAAGATATTTGATACAACGGGTTGCCTCCAGAGAGAAGGGAAACTTTCACTTTACACCCCTTTGTACTTTTGAACTTTGAACCATCTGAATGTATACCTATGTTTTTTTGTTTTTTAAACAAACACACTCACACTCAAATTCACACAAATATGGAATATGTAATGGGTACTTCAGTTATTGCCTTTTCAGGGGAAGAGCATGGGTTTTGGCATTCAATTGCTTGAATTTGAATCTCACCTCTGATATTTGTTCCTGTATGACTTTGGACAGGTAAAATAATTTAAAATGGTACTTAGAGGATTGTTGCACTGATTAAACAAGATAGTCACTGTAATGCACTTAGCTCAGGGCCCAATAAATGGTTCGTTTTACCTTCCACACATCTCTGGAATCTACTCACTTCTCACCATCTCCTCTGCCACCTCCCCTGGCTAAGGCGACCATCGTTCCTGCCAAATTTAGCATCTCCAGTCTCTTCCTCCTCCCATCTGTTTTCAGCACACCCGTCAGAGCATCTATTTAAAATGCAAAGTTAACTATGTCACTCCCCTGCTCAAATCCCTCCCATGGCTCCCCACTGCTTTCAGGAAAAATCCCAGGGGTTGGGGCCTGGCATTCAAGGGTCTGCATCATCTGCCCTCAGGTGGCTTATCCCACCTCCTCCCTCAGCAATCGCCCTTCACTCTCTTTACCCTGCCCATGACTTACTTTCCCACAATAAACCGGCCCAGCCACTCCAAGCCTTTGTTTCCAGACCTAGTGCAATTCTATATTCTGAGTTCTAGCCTCCAATTTTGGCTTCCCTCAAATTTCAGTCCTGGTTCCATTGACACAAATTAGACAAATGAGAAACCCCTGCTCTGAGAGCTGGGAGGAGACCCTAGGTCAGACCGTCCCCAGGGGTGGCCGCATCCGGTGTCACTTCTAACACCACCTCCGATTCCTTTGGAGTGAGGATGACTACCACTTTGGACAACCGCCGTCACATGTCTAAGCCAGCTCAGTTTGTGCTGAGGGAAACCCAGAACAGTGCCTGGCACAAAATAAATGCCCGATAAACCTTCACTGAATGAATGAGACGCCAAAGGTTGGGCAATGACTAAAAGTAGGGCAAGAAACAGAGAGGAGCTCTGGGATCTGGGAGTGGGGTACTATTAGCTAGTCTCAGGAGAGCCAGGTAAGCCCTGAGTGGGTTGCCCCAGGCTAGGAGCCTCGCCCTTTGCTGTCACCCATGTTTTTACGAATGAATTTAAATTTCCTTTTTCTCTTTATTTATTTATTTTTTCTGGCCACACCTGGAGGCATGCGGGATCTTAGTTCCCCCGACCAGGGATGGAACGGTGCCCCCCCGCAGTGGATGCATGGAATCTTAGCCACTGGACCACCAGGGAAGTCCTAGATTTCTTTTTTCACAAGCAGAAGGGGGGAGGTGGGGTGAGCGCAATTTAGCCTCCCTTCCTCGTGCTGTCAGAGGACCCCTCTGCCTAAGATACATCACAGTTCTAACCTCCAGGCCTTTCTACTGGCAGGACTCTCCTGGAGGTTTCCTTATCCTTTCCTTTCGATCCATCTGTCCTGCCCCAGTCTGATCTGCCTGACCCCTTGTGGAATCTCTGACTTTCCCCCACCCCTTATCCGAGCCCTCACACATCCTCACTCTCTCCACTTTCCTCCATCTGTCCAGAAACCTCCCTTCCCCCACCACCTCCACTTTGTCTCCAGCTTTTTTTGGCTGCTGCCTCTTCCGCCTCCCCTCCTCCTTCTTCCTTCCCTGACGCTGAATAATCAGGCCCGGCTGTCCTGGTTTCTGGAAATACCCGCGTGTGGGCAGTGGCTCAGGGCTGAAACAGGGGATGGATAGATGAGGACCGCTGGGCAGCCCCAGGCCTCCAGTGCAAAGACACCAAAATCCAGGGGTGTGGTCCATGCCGGTCTCCTTCTGAGGAAGGGAGGGCAGGAGGTTTATTGAGCAGTGGGGGAGGGATGGGAATTCAGAGGGCATGGACGCAGGCCATCTCGTCTCCCAGGTCCTCCTCATCAAAGCGGGAGAGGATGGACTCCTCGTCACTATAAAGTGAGCTGGTCCCCTGTGCCAGCAGGTCACTGGCGGCACTGTCCATCTCGTCCAGTGTCAGGCGACATGCATCTGCAATCTCCCGCTTGGCCAGGGCCACGAAGCGCGGGTCTCGGGCAAACAGGCCCAGGCCCTCGGAGATGAGCACCTGGGGGCACAGATGGGATCAGTGTTGACAGAGGGCACAGCATGGAGTCGGAGCAGTGTGCACAGAGGGGTTGGTGTGGAAGAGTGATGAACCCGTGAGGGCACGCAGGGAAGTCAGTGGGGGACAGTGGGGCACACATCTTGCTGAGCAGAAGTCACAGAGCAAAGGGATAGCTACATACACAACACAGAGACTGGGGACCCTCCTTCCCAAGCTCCCACCTTCTCCCCTTCTCTCCCATCCCTCCGGCCCCCTCCCCTTCTGGACTCACAGCCTCCACCAGGCTGTCAGCACTGCCCCTTTTGCCATAGGTGGGGTCTGAGTGGGTTCCAGGCACGTGCAGACAGGTGAAGGTGTGCAGTGGACTGCTGGATTTGCCGAAGTATCCGTCCCCTGCTGCACCCTCCTCCACCAACAACAGTGGGGCGTATAGGAGCCGGCCCCGCTGAGGAGGGGTTGCCCAGGAACCCTGGACCAGAATAAACATCAGGAGCATAGTGGTTGATGGGTAGGGCATGAGGATCTAGGAATCACTCCTGTGCCTACCTCTTACCCCCCAAACACAACTGGAGTCAAATTGAATGGGTATACATCAGCCTTGGGTTTATTTCAGAGCATAGAAGGCCTGGGTTTAAATCTCAGCTTTGCCACTTACTAACTGTGAGATCTTGAGTAAGCCTCTCTGGGCCTCAGTTTCCTCATCTGTACACTGGGGCTAGTAACAGTACCCACCTCACAGGCACAGTGAGGACTGTGTGAATTCACATGTGCCCCCTTCTTCAGAAGGGCCCGATATGTAGTGTGTTTGACAAATTCAGCCTAGGCTGCCCCCCACCCCTCCGGGCCTCAGCCCCCCTCCCCCACCTCACCTGTGCCCTGCTGGGCCCTGAGTTGCGCCCACGATGATAGGTGCCTGGGATGGGTAAATCTTCACAACTGCCCTGGCGCCGCAGACACTGGATGGTGAAGGAAGGCTTCCGGCCTGGGGGTGTGGGGGGTACCAGGGGCAAAGAGGAATGTCAGTGCCTCCCCAGCCCTCTGCCCTTATGGCCCATGGGGCCCCCCAGGACCCATGTCCACTCTCACCTGCAGGTGTTGGGGGCAGCAGACGGCGACGTGGTGCTTGGTGGCCATCCACGTATCTCTGGGGTCTGTGAGGTGGCAAAAGGATGGGGCGTGGGGGAGTCCCTGCCTGCTCATCTAGGTAGGAGAGCCTGTTTGGGAGGGAGGGCTGGGGTGAGCTCAAGCCTGGGCATGCGCGATGGGGTGCCGTCCCTCTCGCACGTGGCTCATGGGCTCATCCTACGTGTCGTGGCCAGAGTGCTGGCTGGGGACTTCCTCTTGTTCATCCTGCTTCTCTTGCCCTTTGGTTGCCTTGGACTGAGAACTTCCTTCTTCCGGAATGGTGAAAATGAGAACCCCAGAGCTTCTCCTGGGGAAAGTGAGGCAAGTTAGGCAGACCAGATACCCCCAGTGTGGCCCTGGGCCCGGTCCCTTCTCATTTCATGTCCTACCTTCTACAGAAACACTAGACATTTTTAACTGGGAAAATTCACATAACATAAAATTAACCTGTCATCGCTTTAAAGGAGACATGGGCTTTCTTTTAATAGATGTTTGTCTCACTGGAAAAACCCTCTGCCCCCTGAAGTACCCCCATAAAGTGGCTAGTCCCTGCCTTCCCTCACAATCTTCCTGCAGACCTTTGGCCATACCTGTGGGCGTGGGACCCAGCCTGGGGCACACTGGACTGTCTGGAGTTGGGAGCACCCCCATCGTCGTCACTGGGCCCAAGGGAAAGTGAATCTGGTGGTTTGTCCCAGGCAGGCAGAGACACAGAAATCACAGAGCTCCGGCGAGATGGGGGCTGGGAGCCCACTGGGGCCTGTGGAAATCACAGGATTGAGCATTGCATCCAGGTTATAACTAAGTCACTTGGTCAAATAGTGTGTCTCCAGTGAGCTCCCCAGGGGCCAAATCTGGCTCTTGCCCTCCAACAGTGGGTGGTAGGTACCAAAAAAACATTTGTCTATTGCAGGGGGTCTTCTCTGGGGGACTTCCTCCCAGACGCAGTATGGAAATCACTCGGGGGGTTGAGGGAGTATTTTACAATCAAGAGTTCCTGGGGGAGTGAAAGCTTATTGTCCTCACTTTGTACGTTTCCGGTTCCTTCTCATCTTCCTCCTCCTCTCCCTCCTGCCCCTCTTCCTCCTCCTCCTCATCTGTGTCACAGGTGAGGGCCTGCCGCATCTCAGGACCCAAGTCTTGCAGGCTCCTCAGACCAGCCTGTGGGGGTGGGAAAACAGGGAAGTGGGTAGCTCAGGGTCTAAACTTCCCTGTCCCTGAGCAGGAGTGTGGGGTGGGGGAAGGAGCCCCACAGTCACCCCTGACCTTCTGTGGGTCCTGGGTCAGTTTCCTCATCTGTGACATGGGTTCCATGAGATCAAGAAGGCAGTCAGCCTCAGCCACAGAGCTCCCACATACCCGCCCCCCCCAGCTCAGGCCCTGCTCCCAAGACCTGAAGGGCAGAGGAGGTGCTTGGGGGGGCCTCGGCCCCTAGTAGCCCCTTTTCTTTCCTCCGCCGGAATTTGCGGAAATAGTCCTGGATCAGAAATGTGGCGTAGAATTTGCCCACGGTAACTTCTTCCTCTGGAAGCAAGGGAGAGGAGGCAAGGTCACACAGGAGTCCTCTGCTCCCCACACCCCCACATCAAAGCTTGGACTCTCCCGCTGCACCCCTCCCTCTCCAGCCAGTGATGGTTTGGTGGTGGTGAGCAATCGTTGACATTCAGAGGCAGGCTTAAGGAATTGGGGTGGAGCTAGCTCACCGTCAGCTGGGGGGATGACCTCATCTAGCAGCTTCTGCTTCATCCGCTTCCAGATCTTTTTGATGACAATCCGCAGCTCCTGATTGGCTTGCTCCAGGTTCCCTGCATGGGGAGAGGATGTGGGGCATGAGCCAATAGGAAGAGGCTTTCACAGCCACTCCTTCACTGTTGGAGGGCACGTCACAAACTTCTACCGCAGCCAAACACTGCCCCCGTTGGACAGGTGGGAAAACAAGCCTGGAGAAGGCAAAGTCACCTATTTTGAGGTTCAGAGCTAAGAGTGGGGCCCATCTCTCAATTAGTTTGCTCCTTGCACCTTCCCCAGGGACCCTCCCATTCCTGCCCCTCCCCCTCCTCCCCACACACCTTCTGTCTTAATCTTCAGGGATGTCCGAACGAGGGCAAAGAGTGTGGCATTGAATGTCACTGTCCCATCTGAGTTGAGAGGCATGTTCATCGCCACAAGTCTCTGTGCACACCAGGGACATGGAACCCATTTTGGGCAAATGCCAGGGATGCAGGCATGTGATGCCCAAGGGCAGAAACCTTTGAGGATGCCACCAAACACCCCCTCCCCACCCAAGGCAGGGTCCCTGCCCACCCCTGCTGTGTGGTGACAGTCCTCTCAGAGGCAGTGGTGGGCAGGTGCACAGACCTTGCAGGCCACTCGGTGTGGGCACAGCTTCCCGAATCCCAGGGGTGGCTGGATGCGTCTCAGCAGGGCAACCACATCCAGGTGCTTGATGCGGCCTCTGGGGAAGGTGGGGGTAGAAGAGAGGCACTACTGGGTTGGAGACACCCCCTCTGGTCCTTACTCAAGGCCCTACCAGCTCATCACTCCCTCGCCCCACCAACACCCCATAGTCTGCCAGGGAAGAACTGGAGGGCAGTCAGTGGGGGAGGGGAAAAGGCAGAGGACAGGGGCAGTGGGAACCTTGGGGCATCTACTGCCTGGGTAATGGGAGGCATAGGTCAGAGGTTCCAGAGTTGGAGGACTGTGAGGCAGTGCACTGTCCTCTGGTATCCCAGGTATGGGGTCAGAGGGCATACTTGGCCCCAGGGTCATATTCAGACCAGATCCTCTTGAATTCATCGAGGTGATGGGGGCCCAGGATGGACCAATCTCTGGTTAGATAATCAAAGTTGTCCATGATCACAGCCACAAAGAGATTTATGATCTGTGGGCCAGTGAGTAGGAGAGGTTAGGTGAAGGGCAGAGAAGAGTATGGGGGGTTTGGTAGGAGGCGGAGGTAAGCTTCTATGGTCACTGGGTCATGAGTCCCCGGGTTAATCTTGTCGTCAGGCCAGCCCTTTCACCCTCTCTGAAGATCTGGGCTCCCCACCTCATCCCCATCAGGACCAGCCCCCGGGGCAGTAGTGGTGGTTGTGGGGATTGGTCCTTACCAGGAATGCACAGAGCATGAAGAAGCTGATAAAATAGGCTATGGCAAAATTGCTACCACAGCTAAACTCCTCACCAGGGCCGAAGTCAGACTCAGGGTCACACCGGCTCCCAGGAAGGCTGGCAAGCATTATCTCCTGCCATGCCTCACCAGTAGCACACCTGCGGGTCACACAGTGGTGCCATCTTGGGGGGAGGCTATGAAGTCATGACAAGGGCCGCTGTGGGGGCCAGAGGGGTGAGGATATGACCTATTTCTTACCAGGGGCTACATCTGGTAAAAACAGCATTTCAATATTTTAAAAGCTGGTGTGGCCATGTTGATGACGATCATGTTTGCATTTTACAGAGGGGGTGCTGAGGCCTATGAAAGGTACACGTCTTGCAGCCAGAAAAAGGATGGCTGAGGCTAGAATATTCTAAAAGATTCTTTAGAACACAGCCAGGAAAGGTCTCAGGCAATATGGAGCCCCATGCTGCCCTGTTACTTCCATAGCTCAGGCAGTCTGGGGCCCAGAGAGGATGTGTGGGTACCCAAAAGCATGCTGGAGATCAAAGCAGCAGGGGAGAGGGTGTGTGTGTCACCTGAACAAAAGCAGCACAGCCTGTGGAAAGGTCTGGAAGTTGTTGTTTCGGTTGATCTGTGTGCCATCCTGAAGAGCCACCTTGCCGAAAATCTGTGGGCATACAGGGGCTGTGTCAGAGGGGTGACTCCGTGCCCCTACAGGTTCCCATCCATTTCACAACACCTAATACCCAAAGGATCCTTATAACCCTGACAAGCAGGCACTGCTGATCCCATTTCACAGGTGTATGGACTGACTCAGGGTGGTGCAGCTTGTCTGTCTTTCTACCCCCACTTTGGGCTCATTCCTATCTAACCCCCCTCAACAGAGGAGTGCCTGAGGGATGCTCCCCAGGGTTCTCACTTGCCTGCATCCCAATGACTGCGTAAATGAAGAATATCATTGCGATGAGAAGAGCCACATAGGGCAAGGCCTATGGGGGTGGAGAGGAGGATAGATACTCAGGTCCAGGCAGAGAACTGTTAAGCCCCAGAATGCACTCAAGCCGGGGCCTGCTGAGAGATGTGGTCCATCCCCAAAGTGCCCATGACTGCCAGGGTCTCCCAAATACGGACACAGTATTAAATACAATAGAGTAAGGTCAGTGAGGCCAAGACGTGTTGGGAATTGAGAGCCCACAAAAGAGAGAAAACTGGAAATGGTAAGCTGCACATGGGTATGGCATGCTGGAAGGTGTAGTTCTGGGGGCAGTAAAAGGACAAGCTGAGGGTGTGAAGTGGGGATGAGGGGTGAACAAAGGAGTGGGGGAGTTACCTGGAAGGACTTGATGAATGTCCAGAGTAATGTGCGAATCCCTTCACCCTTACTGAGAAGCTTGACCAGCCGCATGACTCGGAAGAGGCGAAAGAAAGTGATCGAAATGCGGGAACTGTCCTCAGAGCTCTGGGGTTGGGCGTGTGGTGGGTATGCTCAGTCCACATTTGCCCCAGCCACCTCCCTGTCTCATGCTTTGGCCCTCCCAGCCTCCAAATCCCTCAGAACCCAGGCCCCAGGGTGGTCAGGGAGCATTTCTAAGGACTTTTGGGAAGAAAGGAAAGGAGGGTTGGTGAAGAGAGAGGCAGAGAGTCCCTGTTGTGAGGTGGGGTGGGGGGCTACCTCGCCAAGATGGCCACCATTCTGCGCGGAGATATTGCCAAAACAGAGGTGATGGAGGAGATGATGAGATCACAGGGCCAATGAACAGGAGAGAAATGATGGAGGAGATACGGGGGATAATGGATGGTAGAGTTATTATCCAAGGGATGATAAGGAAGCTTACGTGGTAATGGATCAGGATGGTTGAAGGAAAAGTTGGTAATGAGGGTGAAAGGTAGAGGAGAGGGCACAGGAGATGGTGGAGGAGAGATATTGGAGCCAATGGAGGAAATGATGAAGCCGGTGGTTTCATGGAGATGAGAGAACCGATGGAGGATCCAATGGAGAAGCCAGTGATGGAGATATGGACCCAGCAGCATTGTCAATGGAGGACCATGTAGTACCCAGTGAAAGAGATGATGGAGCCAACCGTGCAGTCAGTGGTGATGACAGAACCGTGAAAGACCCAGTGTCAGAGACGATGGTATCGGTGGAGGAAATGGAGCCAATGAAGGAATCAGAGGAGATGATGGAGTCAAAGCAGGAGTTGGTGGAGATGATGGGACCAATGGAGGGGGCAATGAGGCAATGAAGAAAATAATAGAAATAACAGGAGAGTCATTTTAGGAGATGCTGGAGCCAGAGGATGCAAATGAATGAGCGGGAGCTGGTAGAAGGGGGCTTTGGCTGAACCCAATAGGGACTCAAGAGATAGAGCTAGAGGGAGGAGCTCTGAGTCTCCAGGAGTGGGGTGGATGTGAGTGGGAACCACCTCCCCATGTGAAAGAAAGCCCTGGGGTTGAGGTGAGGGAAGGTTGGCAGGGGGTGAGTGGGTTAGTGGAGAGCCAGTCCTCACGTTGACTTCAGTGACAGCAATGTCCACTACGCTGCCCACCACAATAAGAGCATCAAACGTGTTCCAGGCATCGGTAAAGTAATGCTGTAGACAGGAGGAAAGCAGTGCCCTGGCTTCTCAGAGCTAGCAAGCTAGGGTATGGGGCTAGTAGTGGTTGGGGGCATTGGGGAGGCAGGGTGTAGGCTGGATCACATGATAAGGCTGCATCTAGATCCCTCTTCCTCCCTAGTCTCATGACTCCCTGGTTGCTGCCCCCCTGAGAGCTATGCAGGGAGTTCCACCCTAAGGAATGGGTCTAGGCCTTGGGGGTACCTTGGGTTTGAAGGCGATGATTTTGAGCACCATCTCAACAGTGAAGAGGCCAGTGAAAACCATGTTGAGGATGTCCATAACATAGTTGAAGGGAGCAGTCTGCTCATAGTGCTGGGGGAGAAAATCAGATGTGGGGACATAGCCTGAGGCAGAGATTCCCCCCCCACCCCAACCAAATATTCTCTGTCTTGGACTGAGGTAAGTCTGGGGATGTGGTAGCACTACGGGTTGGCCAAGCCTCTCACACTGTCCGCCTCCCATTATGGATATTGGAAAGCCCAGCCCTTGATTTCCTAGCTTTCCTTGCAGCTAGTTCTGACAGAAACATAAGCTTGCTGCTGCTTGGGTAGCTTCTGTGAAAAATATTTTTGATTTCCAATAAAAGGGTCGAGTGAGGAGAGTCCCTTGGTGCAAGCTTCCTTCCTTTTTCCTTCTCTGAGTGTGGTTTTGATATCTGGAACTGTGGCAGCCAACTTGTGACCATGAAGCAACAATCATGAGAATGAACGCCAACTTACTAAGAATAGTGGAGCAGAAAGACAGAGCCTGGGTCCCTGATGAGCAATGAGCAAACAGCCTACCTCTGCACTGCTTGCTATGTGAGGTAACTATCATAATTCATTGACTCCAAGGATACACATCTTTTCACAGTTTAGAATCTCTGAAATTGGGGTGCATTTCACAGTCAATGACAACTTACATTTGCCATCTGCCATTTTTCCCACATTCTCACATCTCTGAAATCAGGATACAACTTATGATTATCGGCCTTTGATTTGAATATATGTGGCACATATCTTTAAAGCTTAAGTCTCTGTCAGTTGGGGATTTTGTTACTTGCAGCCTAAAGCATTCCTGACAGTTCTCAAGGATTTGTGCAGACAGAATAGGGTCAGGTGTCTGGCAGGATCAGGGTGGGGAGCTCAGACCTGCATGGCTAGAGCAACCGTGTTGAGCAGGATGAGCAGGAACATGAGATACTCGAAGGCAGCAGAGTTCACAGTGGCCCACACCCGATACTGATTCGGGTTCTTGGGGATATAGCGGCGGAGTGGCTGGGCCTTGAGGGCATACTCCACACACTGGCGCTGCATATAGGTGCAAGGCATGAGTGAGCAGTGGGGTCCCGAGGCAAGGAATTGGGGTGGGGGTGGGGGGTTGGTGGATCAGGGGTCGGAGGTCACCTGGTTCTTGTCCAGCTCACAGTCTTGGTACTCCTGCTCGCCCTGGGCACGGAAGGTGATGATGACGAAGCCCACAAAGATGTTCATCATGAAGAATGCAATGATGATGATGTAGACAATGAAGAACACTGAGATCTCCACGTGGTAATTATAGATGGGGCCCTTGTTCTCTGCGTTTGCATCGATGGCCTTATATAGCAGCCTGGGGAGCCAGTGGAGGCAAGTAAAGGGATATCCCAGACACCTCAGACCTGTCCCCAGACACCTTAGGCACCCCAGAATATCCCCAAAGATCCCCAAATCCCCTGACCTAACTATCTGAGACCTACACACCCGGACCTCAAAGACTCCCAAAGCCCAGCCCTCCAGAGATCTAGAGATCCCCATCCAACCTTCCTGAGAATCCCCATGCAGGCCCTCCAAGACCCCCAAATCCCTTAAGTTCCCACAGACTCCCAGTTCTCCTCCAGCCATCTGAGGATCCCCATGCAGATCCCCAGAACTCCCCAACAAGCCCCCAAAGATCTCTAAGTCCCCTGTCCTATCAACTTGAATTCCTTGCTCCCTCGCCCCCCCACCTAGTACTCCCAAAGACTTGTGCAGCTATCTGGAAACCCCTGAATCTCCAGCTCCATCTCCTCCAAGACCTCCACCCAGTCCCCCCAGACCTATACCTGGTACCCCCACTAAATCCCACGCAGTCCTCTCTAGACTTCCACCTAGTGCCTCAGAGACCTCTCTAACCCAATTCTTGGAGGCCCCCTCACCCAGGTCCCCTAAGCACCCCCGGCCAACTTCTGGGAGATCCCCACCTAGTCATCTGATACACCCACCAGTCCCCAGAAAACCCTATCCACTCTCCAGAGACCTTCTTCACATCCCAAGTTACCCTTCCACCCATCCCCAGGATATCCAAAGCCAATCCCCTAAAGACTCTTGCCCAGTCCCCTGCCCATCCCTGGGGCCCTGCCCCTCACGCAGGCCAGCCTTCGAAGGTGGAGACAGTGAACAGGGCCATCATGGCTGAAAGGACATTGTCAAAGTTGAAATCACTGTTGACCCAGAGCCGCTCCCGGACCAGGGGCCTTGACACATCTCCATCGGGGTAGACCAGGAAGGAGCCCCTGTGGATGTTGCAGACATGCTGGGTGGGTGAGGAGGGGTAGGGAGCTGTGGAATGGGGACTGGTGTCTCCAGTACGGAGGCAGCAGGGCATAGTGGTGGAGCTGGATAGCCTGGGTTCCAGTCCTGCCCTTCCATTTACTGGCTGGGTGACCTTGGGCATTTAACCTCTGTGCTTCAGTTTTCCCCATTTATGACATAAGGATAATGACAGAACGTATTTCCTGGCTTGTTACAAGGATTAATTTTGTTAATCAATGAGAACAGTGTCTGGCATATTGTTGGGGCCGTATACGTTAGCTGTCAGCAACATTATTATCACCATCATTGCCATCCAGGAAAAAGCAATACAAATAACAGCCAACATTTATCAGCACTAAGTATATGCCAGGCACTGTGCTAGGCTTTACATGTACTAACTTTACATTGTAGTACACTCTCTTTGTAGTAACTCATTTGCCCCTCACAACAACCTTGTGAAATCCACACTCTTTTTATCCCCATTTTTCAGTTGAGGAAAATGGGACTCATCAAGGTTAAGGAATGTAACCAAGCCTCATGAGACGAATTTGAACCAAGAATGGTTCAGCGAACCATTTCAGCGAACTATTACCCTCTGTAGGAGTCTCAAGACGGAAGCTGGGGACTTGGTGGTGGGGGTCGGGTGTTTGGGGATGGTTGGGATTCTGGAGTGGAATGTAGGTAACTCTGGGGAATGTGGAGAGGGGTTTTGGGCGGTTATTGGGGGGGCCTCTTAAGGACTGGTGATGTCTGAGGGCTTTTGCCGTTCTTGGGAGAATTCTCGGGATGTATCTTTGGGTCTTGAGGAATTCTGGGGTCTTGGGGGCCTTGATAAAATCTGGGGGGTCTCTGCAGTTCTTTGGAGGAAGATCTAGGGGTTTTAGAGGCCTGGGTGAGATCTAGGGGCCTCTTTGGACTTTAGGAGGGTCCTGGGCTCCATGGAGGGCAGGGTTTCAGGCACTCACTTGCATTCTTGGGGTGTGTGTTTGGCCTCATCAGTGCAACTGTAGAATTTCCCCTGCAGAGAGGATATTTGTCAAGCAGATTCACCCTTCATCCCCCGGCCCCGTGCCTTGATTCATGCCTGGGCCTCCCTCCAGTGTTTCCTCCCACCTTGAAGAGCTGCACGCCAATGCAGGCGAACATGAATTGCAGGAGCGTGGTCACAATCATGATATTCCCGATGGTCCGGATGGCCACGAACACACACTGCACCACGTGCTGCAGACACCCACAGATATGGCTCATGGACACCGCAGGCCACGGTGGCCACAGGGCAAGGACTCTGGGCATGGATGGAGCTCAGGGACTTGGGTCAGGAACATGTGGTCTTGGGTGAAGGATGTGTGGGTACCAACGGGAAATGTGTTTGCCAGACAGGGGTATGTGGCCACATGTCAGGAACTTGGATCACAGAAACGTGGCCTTTGGTAAGGAATGGATGGTCACTTGTAAGGAACATGGATGAGGCCACATGGCCAGTGGTCAGGGCCGTGTGGTTACACATTGTGGCCAGGCTATGTGGTCATGCATCGCTGCAAATGGTCAGTCGGATCAGTGATCCTGGCCCCAGGGGCGGGGCAGGGTCTGGGTCCCATGGATTTGGGTGGGATGGGATTACCTTGAGTCCTTTGGCCCTGTTGATGGCTCGGAGGGGCCGTAGTACTCGGAGTACTCGAAGAATCTTCACCACCGAGATGGCACTGGAGCTGAGGAGGGGGCAGTCCTCAGGCCATGGCCCAGGCCTGGCCTTGGCTCTTGGAAGAATGGGGTAGGCAGGTGTCACTCACTGGATGCCAAAGGAGATGAGGGACACGCTGACCACCAGCAGATCCAACAGATTGAACCAGCTACGGCAGAAGGAGCCACGGTGCAGGAAAGCCCCAAACACTGTCATCTGGGGAGTAGGGGGCCATCAGGATAGTTAGACCCCAGATCCGGGGAAGAGAGGGGAGTTGGGGATGGAAGCAGGAGAGATGGGCTGCAGAGATGGATGGGGAGTAGGTTGGGGTAACTGGGGGTATGATGGGGGGTCCATTAGTCACCTTTAGTAGAATCTCCACAGTGAAAATGGAGGTGAAGGCATAATCGAAGTACCCCAGAATCTGGGGGGCAAGAAAGAGGGGGAGCCACCGAGTCATGGCTGAGGGGGATCCTAGCTGTGTGTATCTCTCAGTAAGTTTTGCTGTCCCTCCCTCCCTCTCTCCTCCCCTCCCTCTCTCTCTCTCTCCCATCATCATCATCATCAAGGACTTTTCTACAAGGTAAAAGCCTTGGCCACCAGAAAGACAAGGGTTCAGATTTGGGTTCCTCTGCCTCTACTCAGCTACATGGGCGCCCTTGGTCTGCTCAACCTCTGAGCACAGCTCCCTCCTCTGCCAAACACTGATCACCTCCCTGGTGCTTCCCCAAGTGTGTTGCACTCATAATAAAGGCTGGCACTGCTGCAGCTGCCATTATTGCTCCTCTCTCTCTGCCCAGCTAGGGGTCTTCTCCTTGCCTCCACCCTGGCCCCAGCTTGTGCCCAGTAGGACACCCTTGGGAGTGTCCCCTGAGTCCCCAGCCCAAGGCTCACGTGGTTGCGGAAGGAGTGGGCTCGGATGGGGTCCTCAGCTGCCAGGGACACACTGCTGAGGATGATGAACACCAGGATAAGATTGGTGAAGACGTGATGGTGGATGAGGGTGTGGCAGGCCTTCCTCAGCCTGGGGAGTGGGGAATGGTCCATGGTCAGAACACAGGACCGCAGAGTTGATTGGGGGAGCCCGAGAGACACAGCATGGGCCCTGTTGCATAAGGCCGTGCACGCCCCCCCCCCCCCGAGCCTTGGCTGCTCCCTGGTCCTCCCCCTGCCCCAGCCCCTCCTGCCCCAACTCCCTGTACACTCGCAGCACTCACGGGTTGGTTTGGCTGAGGCAGAAGAAGGCGCTGCCCTCAGGGATGGGTACCACCTTCTCCTTGGGTACAACTTCCTGTAGGAGTTCCACATGCCCTGCACCCCCTTCCTCCTCCTCCTCTTCCTCCTCCTCCTCTTCCTCCTCTTCCTCCATGCCTGGCAGCAGAAGAAGATCAAAGGAGAGAGAATTAGTTGAGAAAATGTATGTAAAGCACCTAGAACAGTGCTTGTCATGTGGTCAATTCTCATCTCCCTGCTAGAGTGTCAGCTCCTCAGAGAAGGGATTTCAGACTGTTTTGTTCACTGTTGTGTCCTCAGCACTTAGAACAGTGCATGAGACACAGGAGGGGCTCAGTAAATGTGTGTTGAACGCACATTACCATCTTCAGTCATATACATACTATTTATAATAAAGGCTCTGAGAAGTTCTGCAGTAAAACAAAACGTCTGTTTCTCTTCTCTAATCTCAGCGTCTCAAATGTTCCTGGCCACACACCAAGCCCATTATTTTTAAGATGATGTTGGAGAAGGCTGCTCTCCAGAGAGGAGGGTCTCAGGGGTCACGAGCTCCACCTGGGTGCTGTCCCCAAGGTCCCATACCTCTTCCACCTGGTCTTTCCCACTTGCCTGCTCCTTCATTTTTTGCACCTTCCTCTTCCTCATTCTCCCCACCAGGCACCTGGGGACAGGAAGATGGGGGTCATTGATGATGGGGTAGGCATCGATAATGGGGGGATGGACACAGGGGAGGCATGGGAGGGACACAATAAAGAAGGAATGAATAGGCAGAGGATGCGGGATAAAGACACACACGCATAGACAGATATTGGTGGTAGTGGGAGGTGTAGACAGTGCCCAGGCCTCTAACTCACCAGTGCTCCATTCTCCTGTGGAGTTTCCTCAGTGTTCTTCTCCCTGTGCGAGGAAATTGGGGAGGAGGTGACTGTTAAGGATCGAAGCAGATAGGCAAGGCCAAGGGAGGGGGTCATTGCAATCAGAACAGACCTTTCTCAGGTCCCATACAACCTCCCTGCTTCCTCCCTCATCCCCTTAGTCTATTCTCACAGCAGCAGGAGGGATGCTGTTAAATTCTACATCTGATACATTCCTCCTCCTCTGCTCACACCCCTCCCATGGCTTCCCACCACTCAGAGCAAAACCCAAAGTTCTCACCATGGCCCAGAATGCCCTTCATCTGGCTTTTCTATTCCCCCCATTTGAGCTCACCTCCTACCACTCTCCTTGTTCCCAGACCAGGTATCGAACCCGGGGCCCCGGGTGAAAGCAGTGAAATAGCCGAGTCCTAACCACTAGACTGCCAGGGAATTCCCTCCATGGTGTTTTTTGAATGTGCTAAGAATATTATCATCTCAAGACCTTTGCACTTGCTGTCCCCTTGCCTTGAACGCTCTTTCCCCAGATATTTGCATGGCTCTCACTCCCCCACTTCATTCAGGCCTCTCTTTAGCTGTCACCTTCTCATAGAGGCCTTCCTTGATTACCCTAACCAAAATAGCAATCTTCATTTCTCTCTATTCTCTTACTCTGCTTTCTTTTTCTACATTACATATTATTAACATATATTTAAGTAAATTATATTATTATATATTAATTTGTTTGTTTTGCTTGCCTTCCCCAACTAGAATGTCAGCTCCATGAAAGCAAGGACTCTGTCTTCTTTGACCCCTGCTGTCTCTTTAGCATCTAGAACAGGGCCTGGCAAAAAGTAGGTGCTCAATAAATGCATGTTCAGTGAATGAGGACTGGAAGGTTGGATCTGCAGATGGGGATTGCCAGAGTGACCAAGGCATCTCTGGTGGTGTGGGATGTGTGTGGGAAGGTCCCAGTCAGGGATCCTAGGGAGAGACTGTCTTGGAGGCAGAGCCAGACCTCACCTGCCCTTGTCCTTGTCAGTGCCTGCATCTCCACTGGCCAGGTTGTCCACAGCAATGGCAAGAAACACGTTCAACAGGATGTCTGGGGTGAGCTCAGGCTACAAGGATGGAGAAGCAGCCTGCCTATGGAGTGCCCATGTCCCCATTATCCTTCCCCAGCCCTGCCACGATCCAGCCTCCCAAGACTCTGAGGATACAGTTGCCGCAGATGAAGAGGATGATGAAGTACACGCATACCAGCATCCCTGGGAAGAAGGGGCCGCCATAGGCCATGATACCATCATACATGACCACATTCCAGTCCTCACCTGTCAGGATCTGGGGGTGGGAGGTCACCATGAAACTCTTGGGACCCTTTCCCCAACCTTGGGTCCCCCCGCCTTGCCCACCCATCCCATAATCTCCAGGTCTCACCTGAAAGACAGTGAGGAGGGCCTGGGGGAAGGTGTCAAAGGTGCTTCGCTTAGTGTGTGTCTGGTCAAAGTTGAACTTGCCCCCAAACAGCTGCATGCCAAGCAGGGAGAAGATGATGATAAAGAGGAAGAGGAGAAGCAGCAAGGATGCAATGGATTTCATTGAATTGAGCAGGGACGCCACTAAATTGCTCAGAGATGCCCAGTGCCTGCAGCAGAGATGGAGGGGGAAGGGTTGACATGTCCAGTGGTGAGTCAGGAGCCGGGGCAGGGCTCCAGCTTGGGATGCACTGGGGCGGACTGGGTTAAGATGAGCTTTTGTGTCATTGTTGGAAGTGGTTTTGGAGTTGGGGTAAGGTGAGAATAAGAAGTAAGGGGAGGGTTGTATTCGGGGTTGGTGTTGGCATTAGGGGAGATGAGGTTAGTATGGAGGGTATATGGAAGTTGGTGAAGCTAAAACTGGGTTTCAGGTTGGGCCTGGGGTTAGGGATTGTAGCTGGGGATGGGGTTGGGGAATATTTGGAGCTGTAGATGACTGAGTCGGGGATAAGTCTGTGGCTGAGGGTTGGGATAGAGGAGAGGATGGATGGGGATGAGATTGGGGCTGGGACTGGGGATGGGTTTGCGTTTGGAGATAGGCTGATGGTTATGAGTTTGGGATGTGGGGGTTGTGGCTAGTGATGGGGATGAGGCTGGGAGCTAGGAATGAGGCTGGAGATGGGCTTGGGCTTGGGCTTGGGTTATGGGGCTGTAAATGAGCTTGTGGATGATGAGTGGTTGGTGGTTGGGGTTAGAGATGGTGTTATGGTTGGGGGTGGGGGATGGGGTTTGGGTCGGGGATGAGTATGGAGTTGAGTTTGGAGATGGGGTTGGGAATAATGTTCTAGCTGAAGTTGAGGCTGAGGAAGGGGATGGAAATGGAGTAGACACCCTCCCCAGCGGACTTTAATCTCCAGGAAGGCAGGAACTTGTGTCTGCTTTGATTCCTGGTGTTTCCCTAGGGCCTGGAAGGGCACCTTGTATGCAGTAGGCACTCAATGGATATTTGATAAATGAATGGTGATGAGGATATAGTCATCATTGGAGCTGGGGTGGTGGCTGTTGGGGCTGTGTTTGGGGCCCCCGTCCTCTCCCCCGACACACACACACACACACACCTGGTGACCTTAAATATCCTGAGGAGACGCACACAGCGGAGCACCGAGATGCCCAGGGGCTGCATGGCGCCCACCTCCACCAGGGTGGTCTCCAGGATGCCCCCACAGACCACGAAGCAGTCAAAGCGGTTGAAGAAGGAGGAGACGTAGACAGAGGGCCCCAGACCATACAACTTGAGAAGCATCTCCACCGTGAACAGACAGAGCAACACTTTGTTGGCATACTCTGTGGGGAGAGGGGCAGGGGTGACTGGGTTAGTCAGTTTTTTGTGGTGAAATGTGGGGAGGTAGGGGCCATGGGGCGATCTGGGGTAGTTGGTATCCGTCCAGGCACAGGCCGGTGGTGTGGTTAGGACTAGGGATCAGGTGAGTTTGTAGGTCACAGTGGGCAAGGTTTTGAGGGGCTTGGAGCTGGGGCGAGGGGCAGAGCTGGGGTGTGGGCTTCGGTCAGTCTCTATGAATACAGAAAAACTCCAATTCAAGGGTAGAGTTAGAATCTGGTGTTTAGTTGGGACTGGGGCTGGTTTGAGGGTTGGGATTAGAAGTGTACTCAGTATTCAGGTTGGGGGCTGAGATTAAGATGAATAATAGTAAGAGCTAACACTTGTAAAGTGTTAGCTTTATGTGGGCCAGGCAATGTTCTAAGCATTTTTCACTTTAACTCATTTAATCCTCCCCGCCACCCCCTGAAGTGGATACTAATACTATTCCCATTTTGTAGATGGGGAAATTGAGGCACAGAGGGCTTAACTTGTCCAGACAGTGTGGTGTTAAGAGCCTGGACTTTGGAGCCAGGCTGCCTGGGTTTGTCACTCACTAGCTGAGTCCTGGGATTAGTCACTTACTGCACCTTAGTACTTAATTCACCTAAAGTTGCAGTGAAGAGAAATTGAGTGAGTACAGGTAAAGTGCTGAGAACAGAGCTTGACACACACAGCAAGTGCTATACAAGTGTAAGCTACAAGGTAGGATGGAACAGGCTAAAGTTTCTGCGTTTACTTGGGTAGGAGGGCAGTATCTGGGGGTGTGGGGCACCCGAGAGATCCTGGATTGGAGCTTCTGGGGTGGAAGGAATTGGGGGCTGGGGGAGAGGGCTGGCAGGCTGGGGGGTGCACCCTGGATCTGGGTGAGCCAGATGGGTTGCCCGTGGTGCTCCGAGGCGATGGTCAGCGTGTTGAGGAAGACGAGCAGCAGCACGGCCCAGTAGCAGGCATTGGACTTCACAGCCCGCCGGCAGCGCGCCCGAAGGCCCCGGTTGGCTCGGCGGAGGCAGCGGCTGTGGGGATGGGGAACCCACCGGCTGAGATCACCTACCTAAGCCTGTTCTGGGGGGCTCAGGTGGGGGAGCCCGGCGGTCATGAGGGGCTTGGAGGGCTTGGAGGTGGGGCTCACAAAGTCATGGGGTCCAGCAGTCACACAACTTTTCCAACTCACCAGACACTGGTTCTCATTATCTTGTTTCTGGAAAAGAGGGGGATGGGAGGCAGGCATCGTCAGGGGCTGAGCGGCAGTCAGCAGCGAGGGTCAGGGGCTGAGGTCAAGGTTGGAGGCTAAAGTAAGGATTGGGGTCAGGGTCTGTTCTGGGTTCTGGCTGGGTCAGGGGTCAAGGGCTGGGGGCCCTCACAGGCAGCGTGTACAGCTGGCCAGAGCCCCCTCTTCCTCTTCCTCATCGCCTGGGGTCTCTGCCATCGAACCGGTGTCACTGGCTGGGAGGCTGGCTGTGCGCAGGGTGGAAGAAGAGGTCGGCACATGAAGATCCCAGGGTTCTGCCTTTGGCTTTCTCCTCTGCCTACCCATTCCTCCCCCTTGTCAACCTTGCTGGACCCCCACCGTGGCTGCTGGTGGAGTGTGTGGAGTGGGTGGAGTGACTGAACCAGTGCAGACGTCCTCGTCTCCTATTGGTCAGCTCTGCCAGTTGCGGCCCTGTGGGGACATGGAGGACAGTGATGGAGCACGGCCTGGGGTGGGGTTAGGGCCGCGCGTGCGTGTGTGTGTGTGTGTGTGTGTGTTATTTGGAGTCTTTGTTCTGGGTGCAGTCTGGGAAGGGTATCTGAGTCTGGCTTCTGTGTCCTAACCGGAGGCTGGGCCTAGAGTTTTTTTTGTTTTTGTTTTTGTTTTGGCCGCGCAGCATGGCATGTGGGATCTTAGTTCCCCGACCAGGGATTGAACCCGTGCTCCCTGCAGTGGAAGCACGGAGTCTTAACCACTGGACCTCCAGGGAAGACCCAGGGGCCTAGAGTTGCTGCGGGCTGGGGCTGGATCTCAGGAGGGCAGCCCACATCTGAGGATGCGTGGAGCAGGGAATGGGCCAGGTTGGGATTGCCTACGGTGGCTGGCCTGGCCCTCTTGAGCCACAGAACCAAAGTTGCCATCAGCTGAGGGGTCCTCCATGTCCAGCTCCTCCGCCTGTGTGATCCAGTCCAGGTAGCCCCGCAGGTCCTCCTCCAGCTGCTGCTTCTCTCGAAGCTTCTGGAAGTCCCCTCGCGCTTTTGCCTTCTCCCTCTCCTTGGAGAACTCTCTGAGGGAGGAGAATAGAGGGTTAGGTGGGGGAACAACCCTGGCCCCCTTGCCGTCACCTCCCAGTCACGCTGACCCCCTTGCTGTTCTTTGAATATGCTGAGCACATTTTAGCTTTGGAGCCTTTGCACTGGCTGTTCCCTTTGCTTGGAACACTCTTTCCTCAGATACCCACATGGCTCAATCTCTTTCACACTTTTACTCAGATAACACCATCTCAAGGAGGCCTGTCCTGATTGTCCTTATTTGTAATTACAAGATCTCGGCATTCCTATCTTAACTCTTCCTTTCTTTCCATAGCACATATTCCATATAAGACACTACACATATGTGTGTGTATGTATGTACACACACACATTTATTGTGTATGTTGCTATTGTCTGTCTCTCCCCACCAGAATGTAATATCCAGGAAGGCAGAGATTTTTGTCTCGTGTTCCATTCCTGAAACAGTGCCTCACACACAGTAGATGCTCAATGTTGATTGAATGAATGAAGGGGTATTTTAAATGGGTTTTGAAGGATGCCTAGCAGTTTGCCAGGAACAAAGTAAAGGGACAGGGGCTGAGGGGCAGGAAGGAAGGCCCGGGTAGGTGTCTAGGTTCCTCACCCACTCAGGACACCAAGTACAAGGTTGAGGACGAAGAAGGATCCAAAGATGACAAGACTCACGAAATACACCCAGGGCAGCTCATACCCCATGGCATCCTGCATCTAGGGAGAGAGAAGGGGCATGCATCCCTCAGGGTAGGCGGACACTCCCGCCCAAGCTCGGTGAGGAAAGGCAGGTGCAGCTTCTGCACTGTGTGCCCGCCGTCCACCTCACCCAGTAGAGCACGTCAGTCCAGCCTTCCATGGTGATGCACTGGAAGACTGTCAGCATGGCGAAGAAGAAATTGTCGAAGTTGGTGATGCCTCCGTTGGGACCTGCCCAGCGTCCACGGCACTCGGTCTGGTTCAGCGTGCAAGCACGCCCCGATCCCGATGACGCACAGGGCGATGGGTCCTCCTCCGCCTCTACGTCTGTGGGAAGACTGGAGCTCTGGAACCCGAAGCACGCCCACCCACAGTCGTTGCCACCTTGGACGCCCGCCTACCTGGGAAGCTCGCCTCAGGGTTCTAGATTTTTCTAAATCAAAGACAACCCTTAGCCTCTGACTGTGTTGGGTCAGAATTCTGAACCCCTGGGAAGCTGTGAAGCCCAACCACAGGGATCTGAGGAGTGGGACTGTAAACCTTGGGGCAGAATCTTGTGAGTAACAGTGAGGTGTGAGCCTAGGAGCAGTCTTGTGAATATGGGAGGCTCTCTTGAAAGAAGGGTGGGGCCAAGAGGGGTTTGGGTGTGGATGAAAAAGGCCTGACTATTTGGGACCAGTTCTGGAGAATGGAGTCTTCAGTGTGGGATAGGGCCTTAACCTGTGAGTGGAAACTTGTGATAGGGCGGAGCAATTAGCTAGGGGGGCGGTTGTAGTCTGGAATTGAGGGCGGAGTCTTGAATATGGGAGGGGCGGGGTAAGACTTGTTTATCTGGGGGCGGAGCCTGAACTTGGGGGCGAAGTGTTGTGAGTTTGCGTGTGTCCCCTTGAGAACAGGGTGGGGCTTAGGAGCCAATGGAGGGGGCGTATCCTGTCCCGGGGGTGGGGTGGGGTGGGCTTGCTGACCAGATCCCAGGAAGTAGCAGGTTTTGTGCATGCGTCCGAGGAACAGCTCGAGTCCGATGATGGCGTAAATGATGATGACAAAGAGCACAAGAAGTGCGATATGCAGCAGCGGCACCAGCGCCTTCATGATGGAATTGAGCACTATGTGCAGGCCTGTGGGGAGCGAGGGGTGGGCAACGTAGGGGCGGGGTCAGCTCAGCTCCCCTCCCGCTCTCCCCTCCGCTACCTCCAAGCCCGGGGGACGAGCCACTCACTCGGGACCCCGGACACCAGCCTCAGTGGCCTCAGCACCCGAAACGCCCGCAACGCCTTCACATCGAAGCCCCCCGGCTTCCCTCCGGTATGCGGGGCGTCCCCCGGGCGTCCGGGCCCCTGCTCGAGCAGCACGCTGAACAGCCTGATGGGGGAGCACAGGACAAGGAGGCGGGGGTCAGGCGTTCGGACCCCCCCTTCCCCCCTCCCTTCTCCTCGGAAAAGTACAAGTCCCTGTAAGTGGAAATGCATATTCCTGATTCTGGCTGCCGAATGGAGGCAGTCTGAAGCAGTCGCTTCCCCGAGCCCCGAATTTAGCGGGCCTGCGGTGGGAAGTTGAGCTAGGGTTGGGGGTATCCCTTGCAGAGGCGCACCCGACCACGACGATGATGAAGTCGAGCAGGTTCCAGCCATTGCGGATGTAGGCGCTGGGGTGGAGCACCAGCCCGTAGGCCACGATCTTGAGCACGGTCTCCACAGTGAAAATCACCAAGAATACATACTCCACCTGCTCCTGGGGGCGGAGCCGGGGGTAGGGGGCGGGAGATCGGGAAGTTATTTGGGAGTGGGGTTTGTTTGACAGGGGGTAGGGGAAGAGGAGCGTAGCGGGGACCGAGAGTGGGGCTGGGCAGGAGAGGGTCATCTGGGTCAGAGAGGGGCGGGGCCTGGCTGGAAGGCTTGAGGTGTGGCTCTACTGGGGCTGTATCTAGCTGGAGGCGGGGTGGGGCGGGGCTAGCCTCACCAGGTTGTGGTTGGCAGTGTTGGAGTCATCCTCTGGGAAGGGGATGTAGACCCCAAGGGCCACGCAGTTGGCAAAGATGGTCAGCAGGATGAGGATGTCGAAGGGCCTCAGGTGGACACAGTTAAGGACCCAGGCAGAGTGGTCTCAGAGCCCCACATTCCCTTGGGGCCCTCCCCACCCAATGCTGACCCTTGACCCTAAGGTGACCAGCTCTGACATTCCCAGCCCCTGCCCTGACCAAGGCCTTGACTCTGACCCCCCTGGAAACCTTAGCCATCCTCAACTCTTGTTGAGATTTAGTCTTTGACTCTTGATCCCCCTGGTGACCTTCACCTTTCTCAACTCCCCCTTGAATCCAGTTCTTAATCCTTGATCCCTGGTGACCTCAGCCCTCTTCCATTCCAGCCCTGGCTTAATCCTTGACTCTTGGTACCCTGGTGACCTTCACCCCTGAGCCCTGCCCCTGGCCTTCCAGGATGCTTCCATTCCACGATGCTGATGCAGGACCGCCGCAGGGGGTTTGCCAGGGTGAGGCAGAAGAGTGCCCGGGGTGAGCGCTGGGCACTGGCCACTGCCACTGTCTTGTGCTTACTGTGCTGAGTCCTTCGCTTAGGGGTCCCCAGGCTGGATGCCCCGCCGATTTCACCACCTGATGCTGGGGGCCCAGGGCACAGCCCCCATTCGGGCCCAGGGCCTGTCCCGTTGGCTGGACTGGGCTCTGGGGTGGTGTCTGTGTGGAGAGACCGAGTGGGGGGGGGGACAGGGTATTGGGGCAATCATGGCTGCCTCCTACATGATCCTATCCCTCTGTCTGAGGGAAGGAGAGAAGAGCATGTAAAATTAGGGAAAGTTGAGGGTACCCGAGTTAAAGATTGGGGGATAAGAGTTGGAATTGGAGTTGATTGATTGACGATAGAGTGAGAGTTTATAGGGGAGTGAGGGTGAGATTATGTTTCTAATTGAAGTAGGGTTTGGTGTTAGATTTGGGGGGTAGAGCTTGAATTGGCATGGGGTAGGATTAAGTTTATAGCTGGAAGCAAGTTTAGGATTAAATTTGAGTAGTAGAGTTTGGGTTGGGTTTAAATACCGGTGGGAGTAAAGTGTTCTTGAGATATGATTTAGGATTAGGACTGGATATTTGAATGAGTTGGAATTTGAATTAGGATCAAGGTTAGGGTTTAACTTGAGTTTGGGTGGGATCTGAGTTTTGCACTGGGGTTTTCAGCTAAAGCCATTCCCAAGTCCCATGGCCTTGTTTCAGTCTCCAAGGGGCAGTGGGTTGGCCTGGTTAAGACACCCAGCTTTGGAGGAAACAAGCTATCTGTGTTTAAATCCTGACTCTACCACTTGGTAGCTGTGTGTGGCCTTGAGCAAATTATGTAACCTCTCTGAGCCTCAATTTCCTTATCTGTATAATGAGATGACAGTAAGAGTACCTACAATATAGGGTCGCTGTGAGGATTAAATGAGTTCAGCATTCAGAAGAGTGTCTGGCACATAGTATTATCCCCATTTTGCAGGCGGAGAAATTGATGCAAAAAGAGAGGTTAAGTGATTTGATGAAGTAGCTGAATTGGGAGCCAAATCCAGGCAGTCTCTGACTCCAAGCCTTCACAACTTACTACCACCATCAAGTGTGTATTCTCTTTCTCTCTCTCTCTCTCTCTCTCTCTCTCTCTCTCTCTCTGGTACTTAAAAATGGGTCTGGGGCTTCCCTGGTGGCGCAGTGGTTGAGAGTCCGCCTGCCGATGCAGGGGACACGGGTTTGTGCCCCGGTCCAGGAAGATCCCACATGCCACGGAGCAGCTGCGCCCGTGAGCCATGGCCGCTGGGCCTGTGCGTCCGGAGCCTGTGCTCCGCAACGGGAGAGGCCACAGCGGTGAGAGGCCCGCGTACCACACACAAAAAAAATGGGTCTGCACTCTTTCTGGAAAGTCAGAGACCCACTCACTAACAGTGCTTATATCCAGGGGTTGGGGTTGAGTTTCGGTAACTTTAGAGCTCATGGTAAGGTCTGTATTCATGTTGGGGTTTGGATTCTAACGGGGGTTTGCCCTCTGGTTGGTAAAGTTTGTGTTAGGATTAAGCTTGGGGCTGGCACTGGAGTTGAAGTTGGGGTGGGCGCTAGGATAGGGATCAGGGCCAGGATTCGGTTGGGTTTCAGTTGGGATCTAAGGCTGTGTTTGGGGCTGGCTGGGATGGGAACAGGATGATGTGATTCTGGTCCCCTAAAGGCTCTCCAGGGGTGGGGTCCTGGTGGGCAGTGGGTGGGTCAGAGGGGCTGAGGATGGAGCAGAGCCCAGGCTTGCTCCAAGGGTCTGCAGGGGTGGAAGCCTGCTCTCACCTTTCCCGCCTTCAGATGCCGCCATCCTCCTTTCCAGGTTGAAGAGCCATCTGCACACAGCCCCCCTCTCTTCCCCCAGCTTTGGAGGGATTAAGGTCACAGGGCGGGGCCATAACAGGGTAGGATGGGAAGGTGAGGAGGGGTGAAGATGGGACACTTGTGGGCCAGAGTCTGGCAACAGAAAAGGCACTGATTTTTAAAAAAATATTTTTACAAAATATATACTAGCATCAGAGTCAGAAACTAAAATAAGAAAAATGATAATTGTTTCCCAACAGTATCTGAAATTCGAAGTATGTAGGAATAGACGTAACATAACATATGTGCAAGATCTCCATGGAAAAAAATTATCAAATATTTTCAAGCGATTAAAGGGGACCCAAATAAATGGAGAGATACATTAAATTTACTAATTGAAATAGTCAATATTGTGAAGATGTCAATTCTTCCCAGAGTGATCCAGAGATTCAATGCCGTCCCAAACACAAATCTCAGAAGGGACTTCCCTGGTGGTGCAGTGGTTAAGAATCCGCCCGCCAATGCGGGGGACACAAGCCCTGGTCCGGGAAGAGTCCACATGCCGCGGAGCAACTAAGCTCGTGTGCCACAACTACTGAGCCTGCGCTCTAGAGCCCGCGAGCCACAGCTACTGTGGCTCTAGCCACAGCGCCTAGAGCCCGTTTTCCGCAACAAGAGAAGCCACTGCAGTGAGAAGCCCGCGCACCGCAACAAAGAGTAGCCCCCGCTTGCCGCAACAAAGACCACGCGCAGCAACAAAGACCCAACACAGCCAAAAATAAATAAATTAATTTAAAAAAAATCTCAAAGAGATTTTTCCTTGAAATTTGACAAACTGATTCTAAAATGTATATTGATATACAAAAGACCTAGAAAAGCCAAAATGCTTTGAAAAATAACAAGATGGGAGGACTTGCTATATCAGGTATCAAAGCTTGTTATAAAGCAAGAGAAATTACGAACAGCATAGAGTTCAGAAACTGAGTCCCACATATAGGTACACGTGATTTATGACAAACGTGGCACTACTGAGCAGTGGAGACAGGGTGGTCTTTTTCATGAATGGTGGTTATATGGATGTTTACTATGTAATTATTCTCTGGAGTGTATATATATATATAAAACATTAAAATAAAGCATTTATTGAATGCATGAATACTAGTGACTGTAACTTACATAGTGGTTTTTGTTTTTTACTGTATTATGTATCAGGCACACATTTCAACGCTGCTTTACGTGAGTTAATTCTGTTTAATCCTAGGAAGCAGGTACATTAACAGTTCCATTTTACAGAAGAGGAAACTAAGACACAGGGAAGCTATGTAACCTGCCCACGGTTGCACATTTAGCAAGTTGCAGAGCTGAGACTCAAACCTAGTCGCTTTGTGCGAAAGCCCCTGCCTTAACTTGTACACTTTTACAATCTAGAAGATGAATGCTGCCTTAAATGAATGAGTATAGAAGCCTCTCTCCGTCCCGCTCCTTCCCCCTTCCTTCCTGACATACACACACACACACACACACACACACTTGCGCGTGCAGTATAATCCTTTGCTCACTTGGAAGAGCGCACTGGGCTGCAGGAAAGAGAAAACAAACAAAACCAGACCTACAACTCCCAGCAGCCATTGCACGCTCAAGCTTGCGCGCGCCCATTCACACCAGAACGACAGGCATCCGGCTTGCGCCGAACTGGGTCTCGGAACTACACTTCCCGGCTCTCCTCGCGCAGCCCGTGACACTCCTTGGACCGCGAGCAGGGAGCGGGCTTTCCACAGCTGCGCCTCTCTTGCTCGGACCCGGCCCTGGACCCAACCTCGGACTCCAACACGGCTCTACCATGGAGGAGGCGGACCGAATCCTCATCCATTCCCTGCGACAGGCCGGCACGTAAGGACACAGCCCCCGCCCACCCCGGAATGCCCACATCCGGGACTCCAAAACTCTGGACCTTGACATCTAGGGCTGCAACTTCAGGACCCTAAGACCCTCCCTCCTCCTTACACACACACACGCACGCACACACACACACGGGGCCTCCCAAACCCTTTGACCTCTACACTTGGTAAACCCCAAACTCCAGGACCTAGACACCTCGAGACCTTAAAACCTTGGAACCTCAAGACCCGGGATCCTGAAATCTGTGGATCTTGACATCAATACCCTGGGACTCTGACATCTGGAGATTCTAAGCCACCTTTATCCTGTGAACCAGGGAACTTAAAACTCTGGGATCCTGGCACTCAGGGACTCCAAAATCCCCTGGGATTGGATACTTGGGAACCTTCAAACCTGGTTTCCCAATACCTGAGCCTTTTAAAACCCCAGGACTCTATAAAATCTGGTGGCCTTAATGCTTGGTGACCCCGACGCACAAGGACTCCTGCATTCGAGGGTCCTAAAAACCCAAGATGACAACATCTAGGGAGCTTGATTTCTGGATTGCTTGAGACTGGGTGGTCCTGATACCCAGGGACTCTGACATTTGGAACTCCTGAAAACTCCAGCCTCCCAACATCTAGTCTCAAAATTCTAGCAGGTCAGTATCTAGGGGCCTCTGACATGCAGCAAACATGATATCTGGGGATGCAGAAACCCAGAGGCTATTCCACCTGGGCTCCTAGGCCTTCCCAGACCCCAGAAATTTGGGGCTTTTAGGCATAGGGAAATTTGAGATTTTTTGAACTCGGATCCCTTCCATCCACCGTTCTACACCAAGATCTTAGGACCTGAGGACTCCCCCCATTCTCAGTTTTCCAAATGGAAGTCAGCCAGCAACACCCAGGACCTGTCTGAACTGTGGCCACCCTCCCTACCCCATCCCAGTACTAGGGCTTCCAGAAGGCAGCACGGCCCAGCCTCATCCCTGTTTCCTGACTGCTTCCCCCCACCCCCCATCGAGCCTGCCTCCTTCTTCTTCAGGGCAGTTCCTCCAGATGTGCAGACCCTGCGAGCCTTCACCACTGAGCTGGTTGTAGAAGCTGTGGTCCGTTGCCTGCGTGTGATCAACCCTGCTGTGGGCTCCGGCCTTAGCCCCCTGCTGCCTCTTGCTATGTCTGCCCGGTTCCGTCTGGCCATGAGCCTGGCTCAGGCCTGTATGGTGAGTGTCTTCCTCCCAATTACACACAGCCTCTTCCTTCCTCCTTCACAAAGTCACCAAGCTCCTTTGAGACTCTTGACTTTCCTCTCTGCCACCTCCCGTTGTGGCTTAGCGTTCATTAGTGGTTAAGGCTGCCGGCTCTGTGGTCAAACTGCCTGAGTAGTTCAGACCCTGGCTACAGCACTTGTTAACTGTGTGACCTTGCTAACTGATGGCCCAGTGGGCATCAGTTTCCTTATCTGTGAAATCGAGATGATAAAAGTAGGGTTGTCCTGAGGATTAAATGAGTTTGTGCCTGAGTTGCCCCTGGCTCTCATATTTTGAGCTTAGCACCAAGAACTTTTCCCCCTATAGTATCCATTTACCAGTTCCTGAAAAGGCCCTGTTTTGAGTCACGTGCTCAGGCTGAAATTAACCACCACGTTCTCTGGTTGGGCCAGCTTGGATCACCTGGTCATCCCTATAGGGCACTGTGATTGGCTGCTCCTTCAAGATCACTTGGAGTTGGAGGAGGGAGGGTTACCCGAAGGAAGATATGCTGCTTAACTAAAACAGTGTCTGCACTAAAACTTTACTCTGCTCTGTTGCAGCTTACCTCTCGTAAGAATAATTTACATACTGTCTCTATTGTAAATAAAGTGCCTTCTGGTGAAGCACTCATGCCTCCCCAGTACAGACCTGTGTCCAGTTACTATATCCAAGGGCTCCAAGTAAATGTCATTTCTCCTGGCTCATTAGTTCTGGGATTTTAGGCTAGTCTCTTAACCTCTTTGGGCTTAAGTTTTCTCATGTGTAAAAAGGGTAAGAATTGTACCTACCACATAGGGTTGCTATGAGGATTAAAAATGAGTTCAGGGCTTCCCTGGTGGCGCAGTGGTTGAGAGTCCGCCTGCCGATGCAGGGGACACGGGCTCGTGCCCTGGTCCGGGAAGATCCCACATGCCGCGGAGTGGCTGGGCCCGTGAGCCATGGCCACTGAGCCTGCGCATCCGGAGCCTGTGCTCCGCAACGGGAGAGGCCACAACAGTGAGAGGCCCGCGTACCGCAAAAAAAAAAAAAAAAAAAAGAGTTCATACGTGAAAAGCTGGATATAGTAAGCTTTGTGCAAGTGGTATCACTATTATTGGATAGGCTTGATCTGGCTGCTTGTGTTCCAGCAACTTGTGGCTATGTAATGAATGTCAACATGCCCAGCGTACTCCGTATATGGTGGCAGAGGGACAATAGAGTAACTACAGTGAAACCTTCCACTTAGCCCCAAGGGACTGGGTGGTCAGGTTTCTTGAATTTGTTCCTTGCTTGTGCAGTTTCTGTCTCTTAGAAATAGGCCTCAGAGCTCTACCCTTCCCTTGGCTCTCTGGTTCACCTAGTTCTCAGGAGTTCTCAGGTTCTTTTGTCTGGGGCTCTCGGTGGCCCTCCAGGCAGGCAGTCTGTCCCCTGGCCTGGGGCTGTCTTCTCGAGGACGGCACTTTATAAAGGGGAACTTGTGTCCTGTTTGGCTAGGAGGGTGCACAGTGGGGCGTGTTGAGGAGGGGCCGGGGATCAGGCTTCCCCCAGTTTTCTCTTCCTCCCTTCTCTCAGTGCTGTTTCCCACTGGATTTGGTGGTGACCTACTTTTCCTCACACTAACTTTAGCGTGAGTATGGCTTTTTCCGTGATTGAGAGGTTCACGTGATTGTCTGGCCCCAGAGCCTCGGTTTGCCCTGAGCAGGTAGAAAAGGTCTCTCTTAACCCAGCTGGGTGCTGCTCATGTAGCCCACCTTGGCTCAGCACTGCCGCCTTCTGGTGCCTGCCTCTTCATGTGCCCTACTCCTGGCAGCACTTTTTGCGACTCAGCCACTTCCATACTTTGGTGTCTGTCATTTCACACACCCCACTCCTGGAATGAGTTTCTGTATCAGTCACAGCCCTTTGATTGCAGGTGTCGGAAAAAACCCAAAGTAAAGTAGCTTAAAAGACAGTGATTTTCACACTGTTTTGACTGTGATCCTCTGAAATAAATATATCTTACGTTGTGACCAAGTACACATATGTGTGTATAATAATGATGTTTTTTGAGTGTGTGCTCTGTGCTGGGCATTGTGGTAACCTGGTGTTAACTCACTGAATTCTGGTGACAACCTTCTGAAGTAGGCACTGTTGGTATCCCTTTTCTCAGGTGAGAAAAGTGAAGCTCAGAGAGGTTAAGTGATTTGCCTGCGGTTACCCAGTTGGTAAGAAGCAAAGCTTGGATTTGCATCCACGAAGTATGCTTTCAGAATCCATGCAACTCTGGCCCAGAACCTTGATGGGCCCTTTTATCCCTTAAAGCATCCACATCGGGAAAGTACTGTCAGCCCCATTTTACAGCTAGAAACTGAGCTTCTTGGTGGTTGAATAACCGGTCCAAGGCCTTATAGCCAGTTAAGTAGTACAGGCTGGATTTCAACCCCAATCTTTTTGACTCCAAAGCCCATAGCCTCTTTTAAAAACATTATTTACTATTTTGTGTGGGTCATTTTTATCAGTCAGGGTCCAGTCCAGAGACACAAACCCCAGCAGTAATTTGAATAGGGAAATTTCAATATAAAGAATTGTTAACTGGGTAAAAGATGGTTAACTACTGAAAGAGTCAAAGAAATCTCCAAGGTGTGACAGAAGTAACACAATACCTTGAAAAGT